GATTTTAGTGTTGACTTTGTACCAGTTATGCTACTAAGTTTGGTTATAACTAGTTTAGTTATTATTAAAGTCTTTTGGTGGAGTTTTTGGGATCTTCTCTATATAGTATTGTGTAATCCACAAATAATAATAATTCAACTTCTTATTTTCCTATCCTTATTTATTTTATTTCTTCCTCTTGTCTAATTGCTCTAGCTAATGTTTACAGAATTATAATGAATATGAGTGGTGACCATGGATGTCCTGGCCTCATTCTTGACTTTAGAATGAAAGTTTTCATTTTTTGTCCCTTTGGTATGATGTTGACTATTAGGGTCTCATAAATGCTTTTATCAAATTGAGATAAAGACCATCTATTTGGTCTGGGGATATATCTCAATGGCACAGCACCTACCTGGCAAGCACAATGTCCTGAGTTTGATTTTTGGTACCAAAAATTCCCCTTTATTTTAATCTTCTGTAGGGTTTTTATTATGAATGCATGTTAGACTTTGTCAAATGTTTTTTTCTGCATCTATTGATTTTTATTTATTTGCTTATTTATTTTTATTTTTATTTATTTATTTTTGTAGAACCAGGAACGCAACTCAGGCCCTTGTGCTTGCCAGAGAAGCACTTATTCCACTGAGCCATCCCCCCAGCCTCTATTTTTATGTATTTGGTATAGGGTCTTAACCACACAGCTTGGACTTGTAGTGATCCTCCTGTTTTCAGCCTCCCCAGGGCTGGGATTACAGGTGTGCACCATCAGTGTGCCCAGTCTCCGTGGCCTACTCAGTGTGCCAGGGATCAGGGCTGATGCAGCATGGGGTGCCAGGGATCGAACCCCAGTCCCTGAACTTACCTAAGCAGGTGCTTAGTCCACTGAGCTATCTCACTGGTCCAGGAGTGTTTTTTAATATCTATGTGATGATGAAATTTTTCTTATTTCTTTACCATTAATTTCCAATTTCATTGCAGTATGGTCTGATAATATGCATGAGATAATTTCAATTCCTTTGCATTTACTCAGGTATATTCTATGAGCTAATATGTAGTCCAATTTAGAGCGTTTCCTATGTGTAGCAGAGAAGAACACGTATTCTGATGCTGTGGGGTGGAATACTCTATAAACATCTACTAAGTACATTGTTTTTGAAAAGTTTAGTTGAATTCTGATATTTTTTTGTTGATTATTTGTCTAGTTTATCTGTCTATTTGTGAGGTACTGAGGTCCCCCATTACTACTGCATTAGTGCTTATTTGATTTTTCCTGGTTGTTAATATTTGTCTTATATAGTTCAGTGTGCTGGTATTTGGAGCATAGATATTTGTTATTGTTATCTCTTGCTCTTGCATTGTTTTCTTTACAAGGTTATAGTGACCTTCTTTGCCACTCTTAATCAGTCTTGGTTTGCGATCCATCTCATCTACCAATAGAAGTGTTACCCTTGCTTTTTTCTGGGTTCCTGTAGTATGTAGTATTGTTTTCCATCTTTTGACTTTCAATGTATGAATTTCTTTTTTAATGAAATGTGTTTCTCTTATGCAGCATATTGTTGGATCTTGTTTCTTTTTTTTTTTTTCAAAATTTTATTGATAAACAGCAATGAGACAGTTTCAAATCAAATCGGAAGTACAGTTTCAACAAATAACACACTGCAACTTAGTGGTTGATCTTGTTTCCTGATCCATTCTACTAGTCTGTTTCTTTTGATTGGTGGATTGAAACCATTAACATTGATGGTTATAACTGACGTGTATTGACTAGTCCTTGTCTTGTTGTTTTCTTATTGTTGGTTCCCTTTTTTCTCTGTTTAATTGCTGGTCATGACTGGGGGATTAATATCTGCTGGAGTTGTGGTCCTCTTATTTCTTTTTCAAACGTCTTTCAGAACCTTTTGGAGTGCTGGTTTGGTGATCACGAATTTTTTCAGGTGTTCTTTTCATGGAGGTACCTTATTTCTCCATCAATTTTTTTTTTTTTTTTAGTGGTTCCTTTCAGGACTTTTTAATTCCCCTTCTCTCCAATTACTTTGCTTTAAAAGAACCAAATTTCTCAGAGCAAGTCTGAATAGCAGCAGCACCCAAGGAACATCACACTTAGTTCTTGTTAAAAAGCAACACCTGTGTGATTCATCTTTTACACCACAGGTAAGGGAATGCTCACTTTAGCTTTAAACTCTTGCTTAGAGTCCCTTAAAAAAATAAAAGCATTCCATTGAGTTCTTCCGGATGGTGTTATTGCTGTGAGTTTGTTGGTAGGTCACTTTCTCTGTGTTTGCTTTGAAGGGATCTTCCAATATATCTCCAATATTCCTTTCTTATGGTATCCTTTTCTTTAGCTAGGATTTCACATAACTCTAATGCTTTATTAAGAATGTCTTCCTTGTTGTCGCACTGGTTTTCCAGCATATCTTCATTGACATCCACAAGAAAGGCAATTAGATAGGGGGAACTATGACTGGGTTGTAAATCAAGTAATTGACTTAGTAAGTTGGGGTATTTGGAAAGACCACGATCCTGCAAAATCCCTTTCAAGTAATTCCATGCACTTTCATTATGTGGTACAAGTTTTATCATTTGCAGACTGTACTGGACTTCTCTCTCCAATACAGCATGACCACTGTATCCAGTAGTGTTAGAAATGACAAAGTATCTTTGGTTCCATGCCGAATTATTTTTCACATCCTCCTTGAGCAGTTGGTCTACATATTGCAATTCATTATCCCAAAGTCTAAATTCCTGAATGACCCACTGTCGGTGCTGCCAGGCATGGTAATTCTTTGCATCCTGATTAAGAATATCAGCAATAAATTCAAGCTCCTGAGATGGATCTTTCAGCCATTCCACTAATACTCGCCTATGGTGCCAAACTTGATAGTTTTGGGGCTGTTCCTCAATTATTGTAGTGATGTAGTTCATTTCTTCATGTAGATCCTTTTGAAGGGACCGCAAGAGAACTCTCCAGAAATGCCACACTGTGTAATTGGCTGCGTTTAACTCAATGGCATCCCGAGTGAGCTGCAAGGCTCGCTCACTTCTTTCATCCCGCTGCAGAACAGCTTGGAAATAATCATAAACATCTCGGAATTTTTCACTATAGATGACCTGCACCACTGGATTGGGACCATCGTTCTGTGGCACTGGATCTATATCAGCCCACTCTGCTCTGTCCCTGTACAGGACGTAGGTGGGCGAGTTCAGCCTCAGGAAGCCGTCGTCCATAGGTGACGCCACGGCTTCCGCGGCCTCAGCAGCCATCTCGTCCTCCTGTGGCGGATGGGGCGGCGGGGGATGAGGCTGTGGCGGAGGCTGCTCGGGTTGACCAGGCTCGCCGCCCTGCGCAGGCTCCCCGACCCCCTCCGTGGCCGCCGTCTCGCCCAGGTCCGCAGCTCAGGCCGCGCGGAGGCCACGCCCCCGCCCTCGCCCCTCTCCATCAATTTTGAGAGTCTTGTGAGGTACATCATTTTGGGTTGGAGGTTGTTTTCTTTTAGGGTTTGAAATACTTCACTCCAAGCTCTCCTTGACTTGAGGATTGGTGTCAAGAAGACAGACTGCGGTGATTCTGATGGGCTTTCCCTCATACGGGTTTTGTTTCTTTTTTCTAAGTGAAAAAAAAAAAAAAAATCTTTTTCCCTGTTTGGGAAGTTTTCTGCCATCACTTCTGTGAACAAGTTTTTAATGTCATTTGTACCATTTCCTGTTCTTTCTTTTCCTGCAATCAATCTTATGTTATTCTTTTTTATATCATGTTGCTGCTGTTGGATTGATTTTTTGTGGTCCTTTGTTATTTTAAAGAAATCTTTCTTTTCATGATCACTAACCACAATCCTGTCTTCTATATCTGGTATTCTGTCCTCACATTGGCTCATGCTGCTCCATATTCTTGCAATGGATTTTTTTCTTTTTTCTTTTCTTTTTTTTTTGCAGAACTGGAGATTGAACTCAGGCCCTTGCGCTTGCCATGGAAGCGCTTATTCCACTGAGCCATCTCTCCAGCCCCCTTTTTCTTTCTTTCTTTCTTTCTTTTTTTGGCCAGGAATCAAACTCAGTTCCTCATGCTTTCCAGGAAGATGCTCTTCTACTGAGCTATATCCCCAGTTCCTATAATGGAATTTTAGATCTCTTGGATACCTCTTTGAATCTGCTTCATAGATTCCATTGCTTTCCCATGTTGCATGCTCATGGTTCCCATTATTTCCCCCAATTTTTTAAAATCTATATGTGCTCTAGGGTCACTAACCAAGTCTTTCATTATGGTTACTATCTCTGTAATTATCGGGAAATTACTTATGATTTAATATTTTACTATAGCCTTATTCATCCGGTTGCTTCTGCTCTTACCATTTTAGAGAGTCTAGATTGGTGGCTTTTGAGTTGTTTCACCTGATTGCCTCCTGGGTTTGCCTTTGGTGAGCTTGAAGTCTGGGGTTGCACCTTGCTTAAGTGTCTCCTCAGTTTTTACTTTTTCAGTTTAATTCCATTAAGTTGCTTGTGGCAGGAAGCCTTATTGCTGGTATTCAGAACCCTAAGGAAATGACTGCTTCACAGAGCTGTCTTTCAGGTGTAGCTGGCTTTTGGGTTTTGAGCCTGTTGCAAGAGCCTACCTCTTCAATATATTGAGGATGAGAAGTTGATGCCCATTTGGCCCAGCCTCTGGTTCTTTGGCACTAGTATACAGCATTGTTGATGACCCTTAGGTAATCTAGTCTTGGTATACCAGGAACAATTGATTAGAATAATTATCTCTTCTTGGCTAAAGTAGTACAATCCACAACAAAGGCATCAAATACAGCCTAGAAAACAACAAACTGGTAAATCTTAAGTTGCCACCTTTAACCATATGAACTGTATTTGCATTTATATAACAAAACATAAAACAAACTAGAAAATTGTGTGCAGAAAATACGCCCTCAAATGGCCATGTTAGCCTCAGGAGAGAGAATTTTTAAAAGGTTAGAGGGGGAAGCTAGAGAAACAGAAGAAGAGGAAGAGATGAGAAGCAAGGCTGGAGGATAAAGGAAATTTGTCTGAACTTTGAGAAACTGATGAAGAAGACAAGAGGGAAAGGGAGAAGGAAGAATTATAAAAAAGAACAGAACAACAACAAAAAAACTCCAAAACAACAAAACTAAAAACAATGTTCACACTCACACATGAACGAGGACAAAAGCCAGTGGTGGTGGCCTGAACTGCTTAGTGAGACCCTGTGTCAAAGAAAAAGAAAACAAGAACAAACAAAAAAGAAGGAAAGAAAGAAAGAGAAAGGAGAGGAAAGGAAAGGAAAGGAAAGGAAAGGAAAGGAAAGGAAAGGAAAGGAAAGGAAAGGAAAAGACAAGAAAAACAAAGAAGAAAAAACATTGTCCACTGGAGGGCATGTCTCTGCTGCCCCTGGTACACAGAGCGGGCAGGCAGAACTGACCTGCACTGATCCACCCCACCAAGGCTGCCACAGCCATACAGAAGGGCAGTGGATAATCCCAGCAGCCTGCGTCTGTAGTTCCACTGAGGCTCAGGCTGGTTTCTGGATTTGAGGCTGGAGCCGGATTTGCTCGGCCTGCAGCATGCATGTGCTTCTTGCCAGCGTCAGCTCAGTTGCTTGACTCCTGCTGCCTTGGACACCATCCCATCTCCCCTGACGCTGGGGGCCTCTAGGTGGAGCCCACAGCTGCTGTGAGGGCAAGCTCAGTTGCCCCCCCTCCATGGGGGTTACTGTCCGATCCCCCTCTCCTGGGTAACACCTGAGCCCAGATATCTCACCAGTCGTGCAGCCCACTGCATGCACTGTTCTGCTCCCCTGGAGCAGACCTCTGTGGAGGCCTGTGGTGTCACCACCAGTCACCATGCTTCTGCAGTTTCGAACCATCCCTCACATGAAGTGAGTTAGGATTCAGGGAAAAAGCACCTTCTTCTTCTTGGCTGAAATCTCTCCCCATGAGCTTAAATTCTCACTTTAGATCTTTTCTGGGGCTCCAGGACTCACTTCCCTCTTTTTTCTCTTCTTCCTGTTGCTATAATCCCGTGACTGGACACCAAATCTCAGAGAGGCTATCTCTCTGTCATTTACCATGCTGTCATCTTTCCAGAAATATTCTTGTTTTGTTTCTTCAGTTGTTTGTTTGAGACAGTAAACTATGTACTTCAGGCTGGCCTCAAACTAGCAGCAGTCCTCCCTCCTGCCTCAGCCTTCCAAATGCTGAGATTACAGGCTTGCAGCACCACACCTGATTTGTTCTCATTATTGTTGAGTTCATATACTCTGGATGTAAGTCATTGACTGGATTGTTTAAAAACATAGCCTCCCACGATGGTGCTTGCTTTTATTTTTCACAATGGTACTCACAAGGAGCAGACATTTTTAATTTTTTAGAGATAGGCTTGTTATGTATTTCTGGATGGCCTTAAACTTGCTTTGATCCTCTTGTCTCAACCTCCCAAGTACTGGGATTACAGGTGTGCACCACCACTCAACCTTTTTAATTTTGTTGAGGTCCAAGGTTTTGTTATTTTCTTTCATAGCGCCTACCTTTTGTATCCTATTTTTATTGCCTACTTCAACATTACTAAACTTCTCCTGGTTTGTTTGTTTTTTGTTTTGGAAGGTCTATAGCATCAAAGTTTAGCTCTTATGTTTAGCTCTAGGATCCACATTGATTTTTTTTTTTTTTTTGTATTTTAGGGAAGGGTCTACAGGGTGTTCAGGGTCTCACTACTAGATTGGACTCATAGTGATCCGCCTGTTCACAGCCTCCCAAGAGTTGGGATTACAGGCATGCGCCACCATGCCCAGTCTTTCAATGTAATATTTAAGCCAAGAATTGTGGTGCATACCTATAATCCCAGTACCAGGGAGGCTGAAGGCTGGGAGACTGCTATGAGTTCGAGACCATCCTGTGGTCTCTCAAAATATAGTGATTTTTGAAGCCAGCCTGAACTGTATAGTGAGATCCTGTCTTAAGTGACCAGAAAAAAATTTATTTTCAAATATCCTGTGTGAGGGCCAGCCAAATAGCCAAATAGCTCAGCAGATTAAAGTGCCTGCAGGCAGGCGCAGGGGCCAGGGTTTCAATCCCCAGGCCTGCAGTGCCGGTTCAGCCCTGGGGCGCACTGAGATGACAATTGAGACTGGGCGTGGTGGCGTGTGCCTGTAATCTCAGCTCTTGGGAGGCTGTGAACAGGCAGATCACTATGAGTCTGATCTAGTAGTGAGACCCCGAACATCCTGTAGATCCTTCCCTAAAAATACATAACAAAACAAAACAAAAACAAAAAACCCCGAATATCCTGTGAGTAAAAGTCAGCATTCATTTTTTTGTCCATAAAGCAGCAAATTATTGAGCACTTTTATTAGGATTATTCCTCAACATTTAATTGTATTGGATACATATTTTTTCCTGGACTTTCTATTACATTCCACTGACTTCTGTGCTAGCCTTCACTTGAATACCACACTATCTTGATTAGAGCTAGCTTTAGAGTAGATCTTGGAACAAAACAAATTCCTCCACCTTCATTTTTTTCTAAAACTGTAATGTCGATACCATGATAAAAATGCAGATTTGCTTACTGAGTTTTTGAAAAGCCCTGCTAAGATTTTGCATATTATTGTGTTGAGTTATCTTGGAGGAGAGAGTGGAAAACTGGCCTTTTAACAACCTTGAGTCTTTCTTTCAATCCAGGAATATAGATACCATATCTTGCCATTTATACGCAACTACTCTAGTTTCGCCCAACAGTATTTTACAGTTTTTAGATTTTGTGTGTGTGTGTGTGTGTGTGTCTCTTTGCGACAGGGTCACGCTCTTCAGTTCAGGCTGGCCTTGAGTTCACTTTGTAGCCCAGGCTGGTCTTGAGCTCACAACGATCCTCCTGGATTACAGGTGTGTGCCACCGTGTCCAGCCTTAGAATTGTTACTTGACGTATTTGTTAAATTTATTCTTATTTCTACCTCAGAGAGAGAGAGAGAGAGAGAGAGAGAGAGAGAGAGAGAGAGAGAAAGGAGGA